GGGGGGAGATGAACAGCAGCTTCTATGTGAAAAATAAATTACGGTACCATCTATGTCCGACAACACTGGCCTCCGAAATGTTCGTCAGGCAATTTTCTTTTAACTTCGCTTACAAAAGAAAATACATAAGCCTGCAATTAAGATTCAATAAAAACCCAAACATGTTTTGTTTTTAATGATTTCACACTTTGATAATTCATTTACACCATTATTTCTTCAGAGAATCGTTCGTCTGAGTACACATTTTGTTCGGTTTTTCGTTTTATCAGATGGCTGTCAAGAGCATGTGTTCAGCTGTTTTTAAAAGCCCTGGTAAATCATCCACAGTGTCGAGGAATGTCTAGGACACACACGTATCCTAAGAGGGGTATGAAATGGGCGTTTCTTTGCCATGTACCACTGACTGTGCCACTCTTTCAGAAAGAAAGGGAAAAGAGCCTATTATCATTGTTAAATCTTCATCATAACTTGCTTAAACAACACTTTATTGATCTATATGGGAAAATAATTTTCTGTACAATGCTATAAATAAGTCAAGGAAATGAAAGAACCTGGGTTAATAGAGCTTAAAAATCATATGCACAGTCTCTCTCACACACACACAATATCCATACGTGCACATGGTACAGTGCCAAGCGCACAGTAGTCAATAAATTTATCAGATTTTGATACAAGCTATCACCCAGCTACCAAAATATACAATTTTAGCAGCCAGATCATCATTTTCTTGCCTCATAAAGGACTCTTCATCCTTTTAAGCAACAGAGGTGCCCTGTGATACCACAAGAGCTGGAAGGATACCTGGCCTCAAGTTTCAGTTCTTTACTGGAAATTTCTACCTGGTGATTCAATCGCAAATGCTTGACCCCGGCGCTACAAAAACTTGGAAGCAGTTCAACTTTCCCTACGGATCAGCTTCTCCTGACCCCGGGTCCCTAAGCCCAAACCTGGCATCTGACTGCTCCCTTACTGAGCCCATCGGCACTGGGCCAATCCCGCCCTCACCCATCTCTTACTTAGTGCACCCTAAACCTGACTAACGAATGGGCCCTCTGCGAAGGCACTCTGCCTGCTCCCCAAAGCACCTGTCACCTCCCGATTACTCTTCTACCACTTTTGTGCTCAGCAACTCTGACTCCTGGCCCTTTACTGTAAAGTACAAGTCTCTCAGCATAAAATGCAAGCTCTCCCATCACCTCACCCCAACATATTTCTTCAGATGTGGACTCGTTCCCCCGAGTCAGCAGCTCCCAAACTTATCTCAGGCCTCTTAATAAGTTACTGAGAACCCCCCAAAATTTTTGTTGATGTAGATGACATCTATATTGTTTACTATATTAAAAAAAATTCTTTTATTATTTTAAAAAATAAACTCATTACATATAACAAACATTTTTATGAAGGAAATTATATATTCTAAAACAAAATTACTGGGGAGAATGGAACTGCTCTCCATTTTTGAAAATCTCTTTAATGTTTGGCTGAGTAGAAGCCAGAGTTTCGTATCTGCTTCTGCATTCAGCCTGCTATAGTATGTTATTTTCATTGACAAATAGGGGGAAGTGTGGGTCAAACAGATATATAGCTGGAAAAGGGAGTTAAGGGTATCTTTCTTTGATACTACACCAGCATTTGACAAGTGGTAGTTTTCGAGATTAATTACAATGTGAAATTTGAAACCATATCAATGAACTTTCTGTGCTGTCATATGAAAATCCACTGGTCTTCACACACACTAAATGAATCTTTTACACGGCGCGTGATTTTGTAACATCACACGTTGGTCTTCTAGAAAACGCTGGTCTAATGATCTTCCAAATATTGACACATTTCTTTATACAATCACATTGGTTATCACTGCAAATCTCATCAGAAAAGCAAGTGCTAGGAACTGTCAGGCTCATGTTGGCAGATATGTTCTCCAAAATTTGAGTTTTTGCTTGAAAACTTGATTTTCACCATTGGCAGTAAAGACTGTCAGTTCTTTCCTTTGCAGTGATATGTTCCACGTGCCCCACGTCTCCTTAGCTAGTGTCAGGTATATAAAACTTGAGTCCTTTCTAAAGAAATGAAAAGGCTACTGAACATCAAAACACAGTACTGATTTCTTTCTTTTATTACTTCGAATTCTTTTTTAAGATAGAGGTAGGATACCAGAGGGGTAATGAGTCTTCCAAAGAAAAGTCTTAGGTCTCTCTGAATAGTTTTTAATAAATAAAATACACTGGATTCAGCACCAGGAAAATTCAAATATTTTAAGGATTTCTGAAGAAGAAATTTAAACAAAGACTTGGCAGCTTTCAGTAAAAATTAAGTTATATGACTTTAAGAAACCATTAGTCTTAAGCAAATGTCTTCATGGCTCAATTTTTATCTAAGACAAAAAAAGGTTTAATGTTAACTTCAATAATCTATTCAATTTCAGAGTTCACAAGATAGTAAATATTTAATTGTTTGTTGAGACATACCAACTAAATTTACACAGAAGAACTACCTAAAAAAATAACAGCAGAATATTTACTCACTAGTGGATTTTCATAAATAAGTATTAGCACCAGGAACAAATAAATATGGAATATATAATTCATAATAGTGTGCTATATCTTAAATATTAAAACCAAATATATACTGAAGAAACACATGATAAGCATAATAAGACATTTGTAACCTTTGAAATTGCCTGTTACATTTTTATAGAGTGGATCACAATACCATATTCCAATCAGTTCTAAGTAAAATCCCTATTAATGTCCCTCGGGGAGTAGAAGAAATGTGTTTCTCACCAAAATGATCATCAGCCTCTCTTACGTATGTCTTGAAATAATGCTAAAGAATATTTCATATGATCTGCATTGCAATGAGATAGCTCAATAATATTTCAATTGCACAGGGACAACCTGAAATGTAACTCTTTAAAAAAAAGGAAAATGCTTTTGGGTATCGTCAGCGCTTGCGCTTACTAAATACATGTTGATTAGACTTTTCAGCTCCTGCAAACCTACATTTTTAGGTTGGCATTCCCCTTTTATTAAGTCCTTTCAAGTACGTCCTTTCCTTGCCCTTGGCACCAATGATGCAATCTCCTTGACACTGTCATCAACCAGCCTCGGGTGTGTGTTGACTCTGAAAAACGGGTGATGCCTTCAAAACATGCCCAGAGCATTAGAGACTCCTGCCCGGCTCACTTATTTTAAGGCACCACTCAGTGAAGATCGCAGTTCAAAAAATAAGGCTCTGTAAACATCCGTACTTTAGAATTGGGGGGAAATAGACTTGGCACAGATTCATTCATTCAAAAATACTCAGTGAGTGTCGAAATATGCACATGCACTGAGGCTGCAGCAACGACTGAGACAGGCATGGGCCTGCCCTCATGGAGCTTTAAGTTAGCGGGCCGCTGTGAGGACAGAGACCTGGAGAAGATGCATCTTCTGCGCCTCGCGAGAAGGGTGAGCAATGGTATTTGCCGTTTGAGGCGCTGCTGTGGGCAAAGCGACTCAGAGGGTCTCAGCGTATGATCCTTCAATATTTCGTGACAGAACTGGTTTGCTGCTGCGTGGATTCCAAAATGAGGCACTGCACACACCGCTCTCTGCAGCTGCGCGACAATGCAAGCAGGAGGATGGCAGTTCAGTTTATAACGCTGCTTTCATCTAGCGTGACATGTAACACACCTCCTCCTTTCAAGCGGGGGGAGGCTGCCCTCGCTTGTCTTTTCGCTCGGCACTTTCTATACGGTATTGATGAAAGAGGCCACGTTGCCAAGCGCCCAAGCCTTTACGTTGATTTCGCCCCGGCTGTCTGGCTATCGCGTAAGGTCCGAGGGATCTGTCGGCTCTGCGCTGGTCAGTGTCACGGCTGCAGCTGGCCAGATGGAAGGTGTTTACAATTTCGGTGATTTCGCGTTGTGCCTCCAAGATGCCTTAAAAGCTTTCCAGATGTACCCGCATTCCTATGCGTTATCACATATGCTCCTTCATGATTATTTTGAAAAGTATATTATAGTCAAGAAATTCGGCTTCCGCTGCATAATGCATGAACTTGTCATTTTTATATTAAGAATGGTTTTCATACCCACTTCCTAAGCAAGGCTGGGGCCCATGTTTTGCTTTGAAGACGAAGCAATGAGAGCACTACCTGCGCACAGAACACAAGATGTTAGGTGCCAGCTTCTCTGAGACCTCAGGGTGGCTGCGCTGGCAGATCTCGATCTACTTTATCACTTCCAGTGTTACCCAGAAAACTGCACAATTACCATTCATCTTGAAGCAGTCTGGGATCTGTTTCATGGTACTCTGTAAATTAGTCAATCAAAATTCTGGTTCCCTTTGTTTTTAGGAAACACTGCCCTTTAAATCAAAAATATAATACTTACTATTTTTTAAATATAGGACATCTTAATAGAGTTATAGTAGTAAGTTTTACTGTGAGAGAAAAGCAATGCGGGGGGAGAAGGGGAGGGAGAGCGAGAAAAAGAGAGAACACAATGCTTCCATACAAACTAGCCAACAGAAAAACTGCATCTTGGCAATTTAATGAAGAATAAACTGTGAGATTAGTTTACATAGCAGTAGATATGTTGTGGAGAATTGCTCGGTCTGTACTGGGCTTCCTGCTGGGCTAAATGTGAGCTAAATTATTATTTTGCTTACATTTCCACCCTTGTAGGCTGTGGAAACGGAGCCTTCTTTTTCATCTGCTTTCTGCACGAGAGCAAAGTCCCACGTCTTCACACTGCACGGCACACACAGCCACTCCTGCACGACTCTAACACAGCACCAGGGCCACAGAGTTTTAGACCATCGCAAAGAACTGAACCAATTTAAAAGGAGAACTTCAATAGCAAATTTACACCATCCTTACTGTCGATATTTCCCATTTCACCATACCATATTCTCTAAATATATCCGTCGATGTAACTGGTACCCTATCATAC